GAGAAAGGAAAATGGAGATGGAGGAATCAGGCTCCCTGATTTCAGAGTATACTACAAAGCTACAGTCATCAGGACAGTATGGTACTGGCACAAAAACAGAAATATAGATCACTGGAACATGATAGAAAGCCCAGAGACAACCCCATGCACCTATAGTCATCTAATCTATGACAAAGGAGGATAGAATGTATAATGAAAAAAGACAGTTTCTTCAGTAAGTGGTGCTGGGATAACTGGACAGTTACATTTAAAAGAATGAAATTAGAGCACTCCCTAACACCACACACAAAAATAAATTCAATATGGAATAAAGACCGATACATAACTCCAGACCCTATACAACTCTAAGAGGAAAACATGGAAGAACACTCTTTGACATAAATCACAGCAACATCTTTTTTGATCCACCTCCTAGATTAATGAAAATATGAACAAAAATAAAGAAATGGGACCTAATGAAACTTAAAACCTTTTGCATAGCAAAGGAAACCATAAACAAGATGAAAAGACAACCCTCAGAACGAAAGAAAATATTTGCAAATGATGCAATGGACAAGGGATTAATCTCCAAAATATACAAGCAGCTCATGCAGCTCAATATTAAAAAAAACAAGAAACCCAATCCAAAAATGGGCAGAAGACCTAAATAGACACTTCTCCAAAGAAGACATACAGATGGCCAACAGGCACATGAAAAGGTGCTCAACATCACTAATTATTAGAGAAATGCAGGCAAAACTATAATGAGGTATCACCTCACACTGTTCAGAATGACTATCATCAAAACATCTATAAATAATAAATGCTGGAGAGGTTGTGGAGAAAAGGGAATCCTTCTGCACTGTTGGTGGGAATGTAAATTGATACAGCCACTATGGAGAACAGTATGGAGGTTCCTTAAGGAACTAAAAATAGAATTACCATATGATCCAGCAATCCCATTACTGGGCATATACCCTGAGAAAACCATAATTCAAAAAGACACATGCACCCCAATGTTCATTGCAGCACTATTTTTAATAGCCAGGTCATGGAAGCAACCTAGTAATTTGATATTTCTATACATTTCAAGATGATCACCTTGATAAATCTAGTTACAATAGGTCACCATACAAAGATACTACCTAGTAACTATAATCCCCACACTGCACACTTCATATTCATGACTCATTTATTTTGCAATGGAATTTTGTACCTCTTAACCTCCCTCACCTATTTTTTCCTCCTCCCACAGCCCTCCCCACTGGCAGTCATCCCTTTGTTCTCTGTATCTATAGTTCTGTTTCTGTTTTGTTGTGTTTTCACATTTGCTTTGTTTTTTAGATTCCACATATAAGTGAAATCATACAGTATTTGTCTTTCTTTGTCTGACTTATTTCACTTAGCATAATACCTTCTAGGTCCATATTGTTGTAAATGGCAAGATTTCTTTTTTGTAAATGACTGAGTAATATTCCAGTGTATATATATACACTGGAATATATATATATATATATATATATATATATATATGTATCTCACATCTTTTTTTTAACTTTTTATTTTATATTGGAGTATAGTTGATTAATAATATTGTATCACATCTTTTTTATCCATTCATTTATTGATGGGCACTTAGGTTGCTTCCATATATTGACTATCATAAATAATGCTGCAATGAACATAGGGATGCATATATTTTTTCTAATTAGTATTTTTGGGTTTTTTTGGATAAATACTTGGGAGTGAAATTGCTGGATCATATGATACTTCTATGTTTAACTTTTTATTTTTTGTGGTACACGGGCCTCTCAGGCCTCTCCCATTGCAGAGCACAGGCTCCAGACGCTCAGGCTTAGTGACCATGGTCCATGGGCCTAGCCGCTCCACGGCATGTGGGATCTTCCTGGACTGGGGCACAAACCTGTGTCCCCTGCATCAGCAGGCAGACTCTCAACAACTGCGCCACCAGGGAAGCCCTATGTTTAACTTTTTGAGGAAACTCCATACCATTTCCCATAGTGGCTGGCTGCATCAATTTACTCTTCCACCAAAACTGCACAAATGTTCCCTTTTCCCTACATCCTCACCAGCACTTGTTATTTGTTGTCTTTTTGATAGTAGTCATTCTGACAGTTGTGATATGATACCTCATTATGCTTTTGATTTGCATTTCCCTGATGATTAGTGATGTTGAACATCTTTTCATGTGCTTGTTGGCCATCTGTATGTCTTCTTCAGAAAAATATCTATTCAGGACTTCTGCCCATTTTTTCATTGGGTTGTTTATTTTTTTGATGTTGAGTTGCATGAGCTCTTTGTATATTTTTTATACTAACCCTCTAATGAATATATCATTTGCAAGTATTTTCTCCCATTCATTACTTGGTATTTCCACTTGGTTGATAGTTTCCTTCACTGTGAAATAGCTTTTAAGTTTGTTGTAGTCCCATTTAAAGAATTTTACCTTTGTTTCCCTTCCCTGAGGAAACAGATCCAAAAATATATTACTAAGACTGATATCAAAGACCTTACTTATTATGCTTTCTTCTAGTTTTATGATTCCATGTCTTACATTTAATTCTGTAATCCATTTTGAATTTATTTTTGTGCATGCACAGTGTGAGAGATTAGTTCAGTTTGATTCTTTTGCATGAAGCTGTACAATTTTCCCAACACCATTTATTGAAGCAGCTGTCTTTTCCCCATTATATATTCCTGCTTCTTTTGTTGTACATTAAATCCCCATATAAGTGTGGATTTATTTCTGGGCTCTCTATTCTGTTCCATTGATCTATGTATCCGTTTTTGTGCCAGTACCATACTGTTTTGATTACTGTACCTTTGTAGCATAGTTTGAAGTCAGAGAGTGTGATACCTCCACCTTTGTTCTTCTTTCTCAAGATTGTTTTGGCTCTCAGGGTTTTTTGTATTTCCACACAAATTTTAAAATTATTTGTTCTAGTTCTGTGAAAAATGCCCTTAGTATTTCGATGGGGATTGCATTGAATCTTTAGATTGCCTTGGATAGTATGGTCATTTTAACAATATTAATTCTTCCAATTGATGAGTGTATTATATCTTTTCACCTGCGTTGTTCTCAATTTCTTTCATCAGTGTATTATTATTTTCTCATTACCGGTCTTTTATCTCTTTAGGTAGGTTTATTCCTAGGTATTTTATTCTTTTTGATGTGATGGTAAATGGGGTTCTTTCCTTAATTTCTCTTTCTGATTGTTCATTGTCAGTGTATGGTGTATAGAATTTGGCAGTTTCTTACAAAGCTAAACATAGTCTTACAATCCAATCTAGTAATTGTTCTCTTATGTATTTACTCACCTGATTTGAAAATGCATGCCCATATATAAAAAAAAAAACTGCAAGCAGATGTTTATCACAGCATTATTTATAATGACAAAAATGGAAGCAACTAATAATTTATTCAACAGGTGAATATGTAAACAAACTCTCATACATTCATACAATGAAATATCCAATGAGAAAGAAAAATGAGCTATCAAGCCATGAAAAATGTGGCTTAATCTTAAATGTGCATTGTTAAGTGAAAGAAGTCAGTCCCAAAACAACTTCTAGAGATTGTAAAAAGATCATTTCAGGAGAAAAGACGGATGGTTGAATAGGTCGAACTTTGGGTAATTTTTAAGACGGTGAAACTATTCTGTATAATATTTGTGGTATATAAAATATGCATTCAGTGTTTGTTCCAGTTTCTGGAATTCTCTACCTAGTAAAAATATCCTTGTTATGTTAATGATGTGATTTAGAGTAGGCCCCTAGATAGCTTCAGGATGGATCTGGTCATTAGAAAGACCAACTGCTTGATTAGAAGATTGGAAACTTGGGCCAGCATGACATCTAGGGAAGGCAGAAGAAGAGGAGCATTTTTAATTTAATTGCATGGTCAATGATTTAATCAATCACACATATGAAAGTAAACCCCAATAAAACCTCTGGACATCTAGGCCCAATGGAGCTTCCTGGCTGGAAAATATATTAATATGCCAAGAGGTTAATATACTCAGATTTTTGAGGAGAGTACAAAGAAGTTCTAAATTCCTTCCCAGACTTTATTCCATGTGTGTCTTCATTTGAGTGTTTCTGATCTGTGTCCTTTGTAATAAAACTGTAATCCTTAAGTATAGAACTTTCCTGAGTCCTGTGAGTAGTTATAGTGAATTTTCAAGGAAGTTATGAGAACCTGTGCATTTGTAACCAGTTAATCAGAAGTGCATGTGACCTGGGGACCCCCTGAAGTGTTCCTGTTGTCAGAAGTAAGGGCAGTTTTGTGGATGACTGAGTCCTTAAATATGTGGAGTTCAACACTTACTCCACGTAGTTAGTGTCAGAACTGAAATGTAGTCTACGCCACTGGGGATGAAAGAGAACAATACAGTAATGGTGAATAAATGACATATGCATTTATCAAAGCCCATAGAATTTGACACCTTTTTATGAAGAGTAATCAGTAAGGAATGCAAATTTTAAAATTATAGAGGAGGTCAGGATATCCCATGATGAAATACAGAATATGGCAAAATAACCTAACTGTATTATACATAGATGGTATCACCACATTAAGGGTAATGGAGGAAAATGCACTGACCTATATAACCATGGAAATTAGTGGAACCTATAATGTTTAAGGAAAAAAAGTGTACATAAGCACTGTACTGTAGTTGACAAAATGGCTTCACTCAGGGATATGGGTTAACAGTTGTGATATTGCTATAAATGTATTCTGGAAATAACAATTAATTAAATGGATAGCAACTGGTGGGAACCAAATTTCTCCTTGTTAGAGTGGATTTATAGATAACCAAGAGGTGGAGGCTATAATGATCCATGTGGTAATAGAGTTGGAAACATCAGTATGAACTCATGTGTAACTTAATATAGATACAGATGATTATATACAGAAATATTTATATATATATATGTGTGTGTGTGTGTGTGTATGAACAGGTTAGATTACACACATATATATTCTTTTGCTTTTGCAGCTGACGGGGCCTAGAAGAAGTGATACTCCAATAGCAAAGATCATGCTTAGTGCCAAGATCTTGGTTTCTAATACTATTCTCCAATAAAAGGATGAAGGATCCTTGGAGAATTGGCTGATTCTATGACTGGAGAAGGAAAAATACAAGATGAGTCTGGAGCATCTTGCAGGGCCAAAAAGTAAAGATTTGCTTAATAGAAAAAAAAAACACATTAATGGGAACATATCAAAGGGACAAACAAGCTAATTGAAAGAGTTTTCAATCACCAATGATGGAACAAGTTGAATAACACAACAAAGTAGTATTAGATTGTAACTTAAGGTATAAAAGAAGTCTCCATGATTCCAAACTAATATAAATAAATGATTAAATAAATTAATAAATGGAGGAGATGAGACAAATCTTCAACACAGATAAATTCCAAATAAAGTATTCTGATGATCCACCCTAAATGAGGAGAATATATCTACTTACTCCCTAAAAGTGGGCTATGCATAATGACTTCTTTCTGAATAATACAGTATGGAAGGAGGTAGAGACTAAAGTGGAGGAAACTAACAAATACTACTTCAGCCAGATGATCAAGATCAGCATCAACAGTCATAAACTATGTTGATAGTATCTACCTTTGATACAATATGTGATAACAATGACATTTTTATCTCTGTTATCTCCCCCCCAAACACACTATTCCAGTGTAATCATAAGAAAAACATCAGACAGATTCCAATTGAGGGAAAGCCTATAAAATGTCTGATCAGTACTCTTAAAATTGTCAATGTTATCAAAACAAGAAACACCTGGAAATAATCACAGCCAAAAGAAGCCTAAGGATACATGATAATTAAATGTAATTGGTATCCTAGATGGGATCCTGGAAGTAAAGAAAAAGGATATTAGGAAAAAGATGAAGAAATCTAAGTAAAGTAATAATGTATCAATGTAGATTCATTAATTGTGATAGATAAGATGTTAATAATGAGGGAAAATGAATTTGCAGAATATGGATCCTCTCTGCATTACTTTCACAAATTACTTGTAAATCTAAACTTTGCTAAAATAGGTTTATTTTAAAAATATTTAACAAAGAATTTAATGGAGGGCATCATTGTTTTAAAAAATAAAAAAAACAGTGTATTCTGTAGGAAAATATATAGATATAGATATCTAAATATGTAGATATGAAAATATATTTTTAATAAAAGCAAGGAAATGATGGAATGATAAATATGAAATTATGAAAGTGTTTATCTCTTGCAGGAATCAAAGAGATGTTAAGGGATGCATATAGCTAGATGAAAGATATTGTTACTATTTTACATCTCATGTTTGTAGTGAATTCACAGTTTTTCATTTTATCAAAACTAAATATGTACAGAGGTAGATGATACATACATACATATGTGCATACATACATATATACATAGATGTGAAATAAAAGAAAATCATACCACAGATCAATGATGAGAGAGTCGCATGAACAAGAAGCTATGATTAATTCTGCACAACTTACATCAATCAATAAATAAGTACAGTGAGATATTAGCCATGCATTGGATCTCCAGGGCAAAGGCTTATCTGTAAAGTGTACTATTTCTTAGGACTTGTCATGGACTATGGCAAAAAATAAATTGAGGAGAAAAAAATATGATTGAAATATTGGAAGCATGAAAATATTAGGAAATGAAGAGACAAGTTTCAAAAATGTGAGTGGAAGCAATGTAGGTTTTCCAGGTATGTATGGCATCTAAGAATTTCTGATAAATTTGGGGCTATTAGTAAAAGGGTACTATAATACAGAGAGATAAATTTGGAGTTACTAAAAACCAGGTGGGAGGCAGTATAGAAGTAATTCTGGGAACTGAATTTGAGGGCATTTAATAGCTAGAGATCCTTGAGGAAAAAGGAAAACAGCAGTTGGATACTGAACGAAAAAAATAACTCAATCATCACAACAGAATTTCTCCAAAAGAAAAAGCTTTTGTTTTTGCTGCTGTTGAAGAAAGTTAAGCCAGAGGAACCAAATAACAGCTGGGTTGCTGTGTGCAAACACTGAATCAAATGAGAGTCATAGCTCTCCTGAGATGGATCCAGGAATTTATGAGACTGAAAATTAAAACAAAAACAAAAACATAATTGTAGCCTTTCTATTCTCCCCACTCCTCCTTATCTTTTTGCCTAAATTGATGAATGTTGAGCAGTGGGGAGAGAGTTACCCTGATTAATTCCTAAAAAGGAAGCCTAAGAGTCCTTAAATGCCTGTGATATCACTGACCCAAAGTTGGATAAAGAAGGATGGAAGGATCAAAGTCTGTGAAAAAGATCTGAGATTTAAATATTATAATTTTGAACTCAATTCACTGGAAGCATGCCTTAAAAATTATTACCGCAGTAAAATCTGGAAATAATTCCATTTCGAGTCCTCTGTAATATACATCAGATCATAATATTAGGTAGTTAGTCAGACATTAGCAGAAAGGAGGTGACAGTGGTGAAAAGACAAGGGAGTGTAGTCAAGTTACACCCCAACCATCTGGGGACCCTCCCCTTATCCCACCCAGAATGGGAGAAACTATGGTCAAGTGGTATGCAACTATTCCTGATAAAGAGGGAGCAGGAGGGAACTTCCCCAGGCTGTGCATACCCAGACTAGACATATGTATAACCTATAGTAAACACAAACTCATTATACCATCATTATAATAAAATCTGCCTGCAGTTTTACTAAACACCGCCCCCCCCAACCATGGGCATTTCTTAGCGAATCAAGGGTAAGAGCATGCACAATAAAGAACTTGTTACATAACTTGGTACTGTCAATCAAATAACGATCCCCTGTTACTCACCCTGCCACCTCGCAGAACGCTCCTTATAAACACCCTTAAACCTGTACAGCAGCACTAGTTTCACTTCTCAGAAACAGCCCGCTCTCCCTCTGCGAGTGTAACTATGCTTTAAGAAACTTTGCTTTGCATTTGAGCCCGAAGTAGTAGTCTGCGATTCTTTGCTTCCTATCACAAGGACTGAGATTGCTGGCCTGGGTCATCCGTTGCCCTCCTCGGTTGAAGCTATATGACACAACGAAAGCCAACCCGGTGATATCTTTGGTGCTGTGACTCAGATAGCTAAAGGTATGCTTGAGCCGCCCACCTTGCAGCTTCCTCCTGCTTTCGACTATTGCATGACAATTGCCCACCTGGCTTTATCGCCTCTGTCTTACATGCCTCTGCTCCTTGCTTAATAGGCCTGAGAAAGGGCTGCTGTGTGTGTGCCAGTGCTAACCTGAGACACCCAAATGCTCTTCCCCGGAGATATATACCCATTATTTTCCTACCCACAACTCTCCTCTCTGGTCTCTCACTTGTGTCTTTCGCCACTGCTGGCAGCGACATTGGACAAACTGCCACCTTCAGACTCTGTTAAATATTTACACCGCTCTTGTCAAACCACCCTCCTTGACAAGCTTCCTTGAATTATGGCTATTGAGAAGACTTCAAACCTCTCTCCAGCTCAACTTACTGGGACCTCCTAATCACTTTTTCTATCACTGGCTAGAACCGAGATCAATTGTGGGACTCTGGGAGGTTTTTCCACTTTCTTTTCTGGGCCCTTCTTTCCTCTTTTGAGACACAAAGGAGTTTTCTTCTGTTGACAGATCAGTCTGGCAGCTGCCCGAAACACCCAATCTGTTGTATTTGTGAGGCCTGTCAGCAGTTCCATGTGCCCCAACCTTGAGGAGAGACCCCTTTTTGGTCAGACCAGTCTTATTTGAGATCCCCTCATTTTTCTCTTGTGGTCTCAAACATCTGTTTTGCATGGTCCCTAAGGGGAACCAACTCTTCCTCCACTTGGCCACCCAGAACAATTCCCATCACTACCCAGACCTTGCTAACTGCCAGCCTGTCAGGAATCTCCAGGGACTTGCCTTTACGGTCCTTATCACCCACATAGGAACCCTAGCCCACTGGAAATGGCAAAGGAGGAATAACCACGTTATTATGAGATTGAGGAGCCAGAGAGTACAAACAAACTTCTCATTAAGGTGAGGGAATTTCTATTGGTGACAAAGCCTCAACACTGTGTATTCCTTCTACCAGACAAATTGCTCATCCAGCTGAGAGAATCTCTATAGGTGACACAACCATTGGCACATGGTCTGTTACTCTCCCTGAATGTTGTGTGTCCTCACTGCCAGTAAGGCAGGGGGATCTCTATTGGTGACACTGCCTTTGGGGCCAGAGGGAACAGACAATAGTCCTGGAGGTCTATGGCCAGGGCCCTCCCTGGTACCAGGAAGAGGGGACACCCTCTCCCACAGGCGGTCAGGGATATTAGGATGCTGAGACTCCCCTGACTTCAGTGTTGTGTATTCTTTCTTTACAGATCAGTAACTAAACTTCTGGCCTCCCACCGCCTGACACTCCCTTGGGCTGCATCCTCAATACCTGGTTGGCCTTTGACCCTGACACCCTAAAGAAAAAGAATAATCTTTTTCTGCAACATCACTTGGTCCTAGTATAAGCTGGGGGACCAAGAAAAGTGGCTCTTAAATGGTAGCATTAACTATAATACCGTCCTTCAACTATCTATTCTGCAAACGACAAGGAAAATGGAGAGAGATTCCCTATGTTCAAGCCTTTTTATCTCTTAGAGAGAGGGAAGACCTCTTAAAGACTTGTAAAATTGACTCTGCTGTGCTGGCCCTGATGGGACAGTCCCCATCCTCTCCTAGAGAGGATCCATCTGAGTGGGGCAATGCCAAAAGGGAACCTGAGACAGATAAGAGCCAAAAGGAGAAAATCTTTAAAGCTGGGGATAGCACTAAAACCACCCCATCCTCCATCTATACCCTTTTGCTACTGACAGCCCCCTTACTGCTTTACCCGGGAGATCTGACTCCCACAAGGCCTCCCCTTAAAATTTGCCCTTTGGTGGAGGCAATGGGCAAATTCAGACCAAAACTTATTCAGAAGCCTTTCACTCTTCTAGAGTTGAAACAGACCAAAGAGGAACTAGGTAAATTTTCTTATGATCCTACCACTACATTGACAACTTCGCACTTAACCTTGGCTTTTGACTTAGTCTGGAATGATGTCATGATAATCTTGGAGCAAACTCTATTAGATACTGAGAAGGAAAAAGTCCTGAAAGAGGCCCACAACTTTGCGGACAGACTCCACTTATCCAGATCAAAATACCCTGTGGGTGAAACCGCCATTTGCCATATGGACCCTCATTGCGATTATAATTACGCCAATGAGCAATGGGAAAAGGAACATGTTATAATCTGTATAAAAGCTGGACTCAAAACAAGCAGAAGGAAACCCATTAATTGCTCAAAGG